TCCAACGTACCCACTGACGTCAGTTGCCAATTAAAGATATTAATTCTTCTTGTACATCAATGATAAATTCTTAATACGATTCGAAAAACGTGCTTCAAATTCGGCGTGTAGCGCCAGCCAATCACAGCGCGTTGTAAAATTCAACGGATCTAGTTGCACGGATCGTTTGGCGAGTGTTACCGCTTGTCAGGAAATTTCGCATCATTTCGTGGCTTTAATCAACTTTTCCATCGAATTCGTGTGATTTTTGACGAAAGTAGTGCTGTACGGCAAGAATGGAGGCTGAGACCAGCTGTGACGACCCTCAGTTCATGATTATGTTGGAAACTTGTCTGCGTGTCGAGATCGAAACAGCCAAGCGTACGTCCTCTGGTAAGTAACCTCTCTTATTTCTTCGTTACTTTCATCTTGAAAATAATACCATATTCATCGTTGTTCCGTACGTGGTAAACGATGTTCGATACCTTTTAACGTAATTGACGCTGATTGACACTCGAGATAACGTTGACACTTGTTGAACGTGCAACGCCACCATAATCGTTGTCGCAACTAAATGAGACTGAAATGAGACAATAGAGTGGCTGTTTTCACGAAGTTTATTTTATTTGTCTGTTTTTTTCTTTTTGTGCATTTTCTCAAGAACTTGCGAACGAAATAAAAACATTGAAGCTGGGGATGCAGGCGCAGTTGAAAACGAGGAAAGAGCTGAAAGAGAAAACGGGGAGTACGCAGCAAAACATACTGATTTTAACGGACACATTAAACCAGTACGTAGGATAAGCGAAACATAACGCGATCCCGAGCAATTTATTCGATTTGTGTATCGTTCTGAAAATTCCGTTTTCAGAGAGAGCAAACGTGTTAACGAGACTTCCAACAAAATCGAGCTAATGAAGCTTAATTTGGACAACGACTACAAAGTCATGAAACAGGGTTGCCAACAGTACGAGAATATCCTCAACGAGTACGAAGCGACGTGGCAGTCATATCACGTGCGTAATTTTCATTCAGCGTGAAATTCCGCGGAAGGGAGGCGAAAGGTCGTTTGAATAAATTTCATTCTACGATTGCAACCGCTATTTAGGAGAAATACGAGGAATTTCCGTTGGCCAAGGAGAGGAAGCAGTGGGAGGTAAAGTTGAGAAAGCTTCGCGTGGATAAAATGGTGCTGGAATACAAGATCAACGAACTGGAGAAGATGTCGGAGCAAAGGAGGCGCATCACGTGGCTGAGAATGCGCACGAAAATCGTGGAGCTCGCGCGTGCAATTTCGGACCACAAGAACCTCGAGAAAAAATTGCAGGAGTACAATCGTACAATCGAAGATCGTAGGAAGGAGTTGGATATGATCACCACCGAGGTCTCACCCATCGACCATCTTTCACGAATTTCGAAGATGTTCAATTTTCTCTGGCGTAATACGTTTCTCTCATAGCATGCCATTTCCGATTCCTTCTCTAGCTAGCCATGCAGCTGAAGAAGCAGGAAGAGGAGAAGAAGGATCGGGCGTTGAAGCTGCTGGAAATGCCACCGCCAAAGATTAATTTCTCCCACATGCGCACGATTTACGGTCGTAGATCGAGGACCGGCTTCCCTGACTGGAAAAGAAATGATGAGAATTCCATAGGTGCCCCCCTTACGTTTTATCGCGAGATATTCTTTGGAGCATCACTCTGGGAATATTCTTCTTCTTCTTCATATGCGGCCCGATTTAATTAAATTAGATTTAAACGCACACTCGACGTCTTGTAGGAGTGTAATTCATCTGGGGTGAAATTAAAGAGTAATTCTTCGAATTCAGATACCCTGTCGGTAGATACCCTGATGTTGGAAGAAATGTGCCTGGCAGAAGAGAGCGTTATGAAACCGCCATTTGAAATCTCAATTCACGTCCAGAAAGACCAGAATGTTCCTTGTAACCGCCCGATCGATTCGACGAGCCCTTCCTTGGACCAAGAGCCGCAGCAAGTGGAGCAGGAGGACGTAGCCAGCGAGGTGGATGGAAACATGGCTTTGGAAGCGATCGATGCGGCCGAGGAGGAACTGGAACAACGAATGGACCAGGAATTGGAGCACATGGGCCAGTCATCCGGTATTCCGAAAGATAAGCAAACAGGCCGACGCAGCGAGGATCTTGAGGAGATGGATGATCTCGCAGCGAAGAGAATGAGACTGATGGGAGGTGAGGGGAAGTTTGTGGCGATACCGGTGAAGGATATTCAATTGGACGAGGGAAAGGTCGATCCACTCTGTCGTTCAAGAATCACGAGAATCGAGACAGTTCGCTACAAAATGTCTTCGATTAAAAATATAGACAAAAGTAACTCGAATGAAGCTACGTTGTAGGCCAAAAGAATTGATCAAGTCGTGACATCTTCTTTAGATTTCAAATCTTTTGGTATATCACTTGTTATAGACAAAAATGATTGTATATTTATTGATCAAATAATGATTCAGGTCCAAGAGGATGTCGATTGGTAGATCAGTCACCTGGGTCAAGGATAACAATGCTTTCGATGAGAAAACACGATCAGGATAATGCCAATCCCTCCAGTATGTTTACTCCACATCGCTACGATTTCTCTGATAACAGCGACATGAGTTTCTGTACGGATAATATGGCCGGTCTGAAAGGTACCATTGCTTCTTTGTTCTTCGATCTCGGATTTGTCTTATACGCTTCTATTTTATCTTTTATTGGCTGCATCGTATATTCAGCTGATCAAATATCGCTGTACGGAGGATCTGTTCGAGATTTCTGCGAGTGTTCCAACATATCCATGCCCATCGAGGACGCAATCTCGGAGAGCAATGCAAACGTTCCATCGACCAGCAAGACTCACAATTTTCCACGTACTTATGATACATCTCATTCAAGGTTTTCATCGATTCCTTTCTTTTCTACACTCATATTTACTATTCTTTTTTTTTTGTTTTTGTTGCAGAATTCGATTTGAGTAATATTTTGAAACCTACTTTGGACGCGAAGAAATTCTTCTAGCCTCGAGTCGTCTCGAAGATGATCATTCAAAAGCACTGTGTACTCGCTGTAAAACATAGCTTTAATGAAATAAAATCGCGCAGAGCGAAGGTGAACGAGGTAATTTCTTCGGTAATAAGACCGGTTCCCCTTCGCTTTTCGCCCAGACTGAGTAATATTCGAGCGAAATTACGCGTAGTCGTAATTTTCACCCTCGCCAGTCGGTAGAAAGCGTCCGGTGGCTCGGGGTTCCGCACTAAGAAACCGGGAAAAGGAAACATGAAAGATGTGCAGACGAGGGAGGAAAGAGGCACACGCCAGGCTGGAGAGAGAGAAAGGAAGAGCACTCGGCTCGACGACTGGAAAGTAGGTCCTTTAAAGCGTCCCTTTGTGTACCACTCTTTAAAGATCATTGCCACCGACATTTAATCTTCTGTCTGACTGTTTGCGAATTATTTGAAGCACCAACACACGATGTCGATACAATCTCTTCTTCACAGTTAATCCCTCTCAACATGACTCTTTAAGTTTTCTAACTTAAGAAGCACACGTGAAAGACTTCCGTGTCGTTGTACCTCCTGAAAAGTAGTTTTTCATACTACAGCCGTTAAAGTAAATA